CCGGGCGAGCTCAGTTCAAGCCTGTGTCAGGTCCAGGTTTAGGGTTTAGGGCTTTTTCAAGCTATTCATGCCGCGCTGCCGAGAGCCTCTTCATTAAGGTTGATCTCAGTCACGAAAAAGCGCCCGCTGCAACTCGACCGCGTGTCGACAGGAGGCATCCTCACCGGTGGTTTGCACTTCTGTTTGGGGCTTGGGAATTTCAGGTGTCCGGTTGCAGCCTATGTTGCTGTGAAGCGCGAACCAAAGAGTCATGCACTTCTCTCGGACGTAGTCCCCCTCTTATCGAAAGTTCGAAGCACCGGACTTACGCTTGTTTGCGGAAGGATTCCTTCCATACAGGGACAAGCTTGTGCAACTGGGGCGATTGCCGCAAAGTCTGCGGATCCTTGCGAAGGCAGCTGGGCTTATGATGAGAAGCAGCATCTGATGCTCCTAGCGCGATCTGAAGCAAAGTCATCCCGGACTTTGTTTTGATACCTCTTCCGCCACTTCAGGAGGGCCGGCTGTTGTGCTTGCGAGGAGAGTACCTGAAGGCGGGCTTTTGACGGCACTGGGCTTCGTGCTTTTTTCCCAGAACTAAAGTTCGACATCGAGGGCCCAAGTGTGGGTGGTGTGCTCTTCCGGCCTCGAAGGTCTGAGTGAGCATTCATCTTTCAAGGCGAGCGCCATGCCACACGAGATCAACATCTGTGCGTGCTCTCCTGCACACAAACCGAAGCAACAGCTGGTAGCAAAGAGTGACAGGAAAAGACTGAGCTCATTGAGCCGGGCATGGGACACCGGATATGAGCCCTTCCATTCCAATTGAAAAGAGCACACAAGTCTTGAAACCTGGAAAGGCAGCAGCGTGTGAACAAGGGTTTCAGGGTTTCGAGCTTTGGGTTTGGAGTTTAGGCGATGGAATTCTGAAGCCAAAGAAGTGTCGACACCTAGCTGTGAGGCGGCTGAGCCGGCATTCGACTTCGCACTTGGCCTTATCACTGTATCATTGTGTCTCGTGAGCCAACTAGCGATCTAGCAAGTGATTTACGAAACAACCTCGAATGAAGTATTCGGATTCTCATCAAACCACTCGAAAAGCTTCCGGAGGAGCAAGACGAGAGTGCTGTTCCGTTTTTTTCCAACAGTTTCTCAACTTGCTGAAAACCCTGGTTTTCATCGAAAGTCGGAAATGTTGGGGCTCTCGCAAGCCCAAATGTTCGTCGAGGAGGTGCTGAACATTCCGCACTGGTTTCAAGCAGTGGCGTGAGAATCAATGCTTGGCACAACGACGAAAGAATTGTGCTTTTCTGACGCTGACGCGAAATGGACAGCACCGCGGATTGCTTCATAAAAAAAGCTTACAAATCTTCAGGTGTGCTAGTAGGCTCCCCCGGTTGAGCTTCCTGTTGTTGGTTTTCGTCAAGTACCTCCAATCTTTATACACTTCTCCGCCGATCTGCAAAACAAAGCCTTGTAGAGTCAAGTTGGGATGCCACGAGCCTAAAACCCGCATCCCAGACACCCTGAAATGCCCTCAGCCCCACCTCCCGTTCGCATGCCAGGATTTCGAGCTGGGGCAGGTTGTGCTCAGCCGGCCCGCGGAGATTTGGATTGGTGCCTGGGCTTGTTCGGCTTTCGGGCCTACCGGTAGGGTTGAAGGGCATGTTCCGGGTCCATGGGCCGAACAATTCCAGGCGCGGAGGGGGGAAGCCTTTCGGTGCTCTCGGCACAGCACGTTGCCCGCTTTTGGCCTCAGGCACCAGGCCCGTCATTCAGCAATCGGCAGGTTAAAGGAGCTCGGAAGCGGGCTGATGATTCGCCTGACGTGTGTTTTCAGGCCGGGAAGTCATAGAATTGGCCACATAAAGGCCGCTGATACTCATGATGTTCAATCCTGTGAGGGCATGTATCAGCGACCAAAGTCGCGGCTGATGCTCATGATGCTCCCGCCATTGGCTCAAAGGCGGCTGATGCTCATGAAGCTGGCTTCAAGGCCGCGGAGTGGCATGAGCGGCGGCCGATGCTCCTGATGCCTCCGGTGAGATGCATTTATTAGACACAAGTATGCCTCGGGCTCATAGAATGGATGGTTGATGCTGATGGTGCTGGCCTTCCATCCGGTGAGCTTCATTTGTTTAGTACCAGAGAGGTGCGTTGAATGCGCATGATGTTGACACAGTGACATCCATTGACCAAAGGAAGTGCCCCTGATGCTCATGATGGCGGCTTTCCAGCCGGTGAGTAACATTTTTTTGCCACAAAAAGGAACAGCTGATGGTCACGATGCTGGCCTTGAGTCTGCGGAGTGGCACTTTTTGGTCGCGGTAAGAGCAGCTGATGCTCGTGACGCTGGCCTTGAGGCCGGGGGAGCGCCATCCATTGGCCACAGGAACTGCGGCTGATGCTCATGATGCTGGCTTTGAGTCTGCGGAGTCGCATGGTTTGGTCTCAGGAAGTGCTGCTGATGCTCGTGATGCTGGCCTTGTGGCCGGGGAGTGCCATCCGTTGGCCACAGAAACTGCGGCTGATGCTCATGATGCTGGTTTGTGACCGGGTGAGTGACACTTATTTGCCACAAAAAGGAACAGCTGATAGTCATGATGCTGGCCTTGAGTTCGCGGAGTCGCATCTTTTGGTCGCAGCAAGTGCAGCTGATGCTCGTGATGCTGGCCTTAAGGCCGGGAAGTGCCATCCATTGGCCACGGAAACTGCGGATGATGCTCATGATGCTGGCCTTGAGTCTGCGGAGTCGCATTTTCTGGTCGCAGGAAGTGCTGCTGATGCTCGTGATGCTGGCCTCGAGGCCCCATTGGCCACGGGAACTGCGGCTTATGCTCACGTTCAGCCGGTGACATTTATTTGCCACAAAGAGGAACGGCTGATGCTCATCATGATGCCTTGAGTCTGCGGAGTCACATCCATGGGCCACAGGAACTGCGGCTGATGCTCATGATGCTGGCTTTCCAGCCGATGAGTGACATTTATTTGCCACTAAAGGAACGGCTGCTGCTCATGCTGCTTACCTTGAGTCCGCGGAGTCACATCTTTTGGTCGCAGGAAGTGCTGCTGATGCTCGTGATACGAGTGCCACCCATTGGCCACGGGAACTGCGGCTGATGCTCATGATGCCGGCTTTCCAGCCGATGAGTGACATTTATTTGCCACTAAAGGAAAGGCTGCTGCTCATGCTGCTTACCTTGAGTCCGCGGAGTCACATCTTTTGGTCGCAGGAAGTGCTGCTGATGCTCGTGATACGAGTGCCACCCATTGGCCACCTTAACTGCGGCTGATGCTCATGATGCCGGCTTTCCAGCCGACGAGTAACATTTTTTTGCCACAAAAGGGGCGGCTGCTGCTCATGATGCTGGCCTTGAGTTCGCGGAGTCGACATTTACTTGCCACAAAGAGAACGGCTAATGCTCATGATACTGGCCTTGAGTTCGCGGAGACGCATCTTCTGGTCGCAGGAAGTGCTGCCGATGCTCGTGATGCTGGCCTTGACTCCGGGGTGGCCATCCATTGGCCACAGGAACTGCGGCTGATGCTCATGATGCCGGCTTTCCAGCAGACGAGTGACATTTATCTGCCACAAAAAGGAACGGCTGATGCTCATGATGCTGGCCTTGAGTCCGCGGGACTCACATCTTTTGGTCGCAGGAAGAGCTGCTGATGCTCGTGATGCGGGCCAAGGGAAGTGCGGCTGATGCTCATGATGCTGGCCTTGAGTCCGCGGAGTCGCATCTTTTGCTCGCAGGACGTGCTGCTGATGCTCGTGATGCTGGCCTCGAGGCCGGGGAGCCCCATTCATTGGCCACGGGAACTGTGGCTGATGCTCATGATGCCGGCTTTCCAGCCGATGAGTGACGTTTATTTGCCACAAAGGAACGGCTGATGCTCATGATGCTGGCCTTGGGTTCGCGGAGTCGACATTTACTTGCCACAAAGAGAACGGCTAATGCTCATGATACTGGCCTTGAGTTCGCGGAGTCGCATCTTTTGGTCGCAGGAAGTGCTGCTGATGCTCCTGATGCTGGCCTCGAGGCCGGGGAGTGCCATCCGTTGGCCACTTTAACTGCGGCTGATGCTCACGATGCCGGCTTTCCAGCCGACGAGTAACATTTTTTTGCCACAAAGGAACAGCTGATGGTCATGATGCTGGCCTTGAGTTCGCGGAGACGCATCTTCTGGTCGCAGGAAGTGCTGCCGATGCTCGTGATGCTGGCCTTGACTCCGGGGTGGCCATCCATTGGCCACGGAAACTGCAGCTGATGCTCATGATGCTGGCCTTGAGTCCGCGGAGTCACATCTTTTGGTCGCAGGAAGTGCTGCTGATGCTCGTGATGCGGGCCAAGGGAAGTGCGGCTGATGCTCATGATGCTGGCCTTGAGTCCGGGGAGTCGCATCTTTTGGTCGCAGGTGCAGCTGTTGATGCTCGTGATGCTGGCCTTGACTCCGGGGAGTGCCATCCATTGGCCACGGAAACTGCGGCTGATGCTCATGATGCCGGCTTTCCAGCCGATGAGTGACAATTTATTTGCCAAAAAAAAAAGAAACGGCTGATGGTCATGATGCTGGCCTTGAGTCCGCGGAGTCGCATTTTCTAGTCGCAGGAAGTGCCGCTGATGCTCGTGATGCTGGCCTTGTGGCCGGGGAGTGCCATCCATTGGCCACAAGAACTGCGGCTGATGCTCATGCTGTTAACCTGAAGGCCGGTGACGCTTCAAGCCGACTGGAGCTTCAGCCGAGACTTCTGAAAGTTGACGCATCAACGGCCCGAGCTCGACGATCTTGCACCGGAAGCATGGATTTCCAAGCCAC